GTGGTCAAAAAATTCAACGCTTCAACTTCCCAGGATATTCTTTATTTCCGAGAACCAAACATGATAAAATTTATTACTTTTCAAGTTCTAGAGTTCACTTACCCTAATCAAATGAAGACTTAGTACTTTTTTTTAATGGAAATATATATTTAGTACTTTAACTTGAGTTATAATTACTATTTAATCTCTCACTTTCCGAAAAAAAAAAAAAAAAAATCGCCCCCACGTTCAACTGTTCCCAGGGTATGCTTCTATGTTCGAGAACAAACATGATAAAATTTATTACTTTTCAAGTCTAGAGTTCACTTACCCTAATTAAATGAAGACTGAGTCTTTTTTTAATTGGAAATATATATTTTCAGTACTTTAAAACTTGAGTTATAATTACTATTAATCTCTCACTATTCCGAAAAAAAAAAAAAAAAAAAATTCTAATGAAAGATTAATAATTCAAGCCAGCTAAATTAGGCAATTACAATCATTATATCCAAATATTGGAAGACAAGATAAGTAAATACCGTCTCACTCTATCTCCTTTATTATCATATAACTGTGAAATAGGGAAGGGAATTAATGGAGTTTCCGATTAACGGGCCTTGATAAACAGTTTGGAATATCTTAAAAATAATTTTAGTTATAAGTAATTAAGAAAATTGACATTTTATTATTTGTTGACATAATTAATAAAAATTATTTCTTAATAAATATCACATTGATAATGATACATTTAAAATTTTTATTATTTTATTTTTTAAATATTTGATTCTATTGTTGATTATAATTTAAAATATTTTATTTACGAGAGATAAAAAATAAAAAAAATAAAAAATAAAATATTTTTATTAATATCTTTTTGTTTATATTTGTATGATTTGATTGAATATATTGTTTTAAAAATAAATTTTCAAATAGAATAAATATAATATTTTATTTAAGGGAAAGATAAAAAGGAAAAAAATATACTCTTCTCTTTTTCTGTATGGTTATAGGTAAAGTTGATGGTTTATTTGGAGAAGATAAAACTTTTCTTTTATTGTAATTCTTTTATTAATTGATTAACTTATTTATTTATTTTAAATTTGCAACTTAAAAAAAAAAAGAAAAACAAAATTATATTCTAGCATGATTTGCTTTGTAATTTTCATTTATTGACTAGGCTATAGTCTTTTTTTTTTTTTTTTTTTTTTTTTTTTTTTTTTGTCCATCAATATCAAATTTTCATAAAGTCCATTTTTTTTTTTTTTTTTTTTTTTTTGTCCATCAATATCAAATTTCATTAAGTCATGGCCTTTCCACTTAAAGAAGGAGTTGATTTTTGAAATTCAAATTGATAATTTTTTAATATAATTTGTTTCTTATTTTTTAAATATATATGTTGAGTTCTGAAAAGAGCTATATTCTTAATAATAATTTTTATTTTATTTATTTTTTTACTGAATTAATTTTTAACTACTATTACTTTAATTTAGTAAGAGATTTCTATCTCCCTTACAATAAATAGATTGTCTCTTGATAATTAAACATTTTCAATTTTCTTGATATTTTTTCTATTATATTCTAAATTTGTTTGACTTAAAAGATATGAAACTGGAAAAAACATTAAAACTATATATTTTTACTTTAAATTTTAAAAATTTATGTGTATATGCATATATTCCTTCCTTTAATTAGGGGTGAGCATAATTCGAAAAAAAAAAAGCCGAAAAACCACATTGAACCAAAAAATTTCGATTATTTGGTTCGATTTTTCGGTTTATGGACGGTTACAGTTTGTAATTTGAAATAATTCTGGAATTTCAGTGCGGCTCGATTTTAGGAAAAAAGTTTTGCAATTAGCCGAACTGCAAATAAAACCCTTTGTTTTGATAGGAAGGAAAAAGCTTCCATTTTTTTGACCTAAATCTTTTTCACTCTTCTCTCTTCAGCCTTCAATTGAGCCGTCCCCCAAATTCTCTCTTTTGCTAATTGTTCATCTTCTCAAATCCCATTTCTCAATTCTCATCACCTCTCTCACTCCCTTGGCCAATCTCTTTTTCCGGCCGAAACCCATCACCTGAAGCTGTTGATCTTGTTGTCTACTTCAAGTTAACTTATACTTTTCTTCAATTAGATTATATAGTTCTCAGCACACCTTTCTCTCTCTTCATTTCCTTCTTTGTTTTTAGTTTGATAATTTTGATAGAACTTTGCTTATCCATTTTGATTTATATAAAACTTTTGCATGTTGACTTTGATTAATACATAGAACTTTTACATATTGATTTTGATTAACGATTCTATTAGAATTTCTTGCATTGGATTAGTCTAAGGTCATTGTTATTTATTTATTTAGTTTGTGGGTTTGAGTTTAATGTAATGGTATTAAGGAATTTGCTAAATTTTCACGGAATGTTTTGAGCTAAAATGTTGAATTAATATGATTACATGGAGTTGAAAATCACAATTTTGAACGATTCAAATTAATTTTGGATATTTGGTTAACCGAACCGTTCCGAAATAGAAATTTGCGGTTTGGTAAGTTCGGTTGTCACATTAAAATGGTTTGGATCTATTACTAAAATTCTAAACTTTTTGGTTTTCTATTTTTCGGTTTGCGCCCAAATGCATACCCTTACCTCTATTGTACCAGTTAAGTAATACTATCACTATAGCCAAAGTAATTACCATTATCAATTTAGATCATTTTCTTATCTCTTACCTAGCAATAAAAAATAATTTATTATATTTTTCATTATAGTTATATATAAATATTGATTTGGAGTTGAAGGCAAAGGGTCGGAGATCGAGAGATGACTTGATTTTCTTTTTGGGCACTTATTAATTTTAAAAATCAAAATTTATAAATTAAAGTGAAGGATTAAGTCTAAGGATTGTGTTGAATTTTTTTTTTTTTGCGACCACTTTATTATAAAAAATAAAATTAAGTACATAAAAAAGCATCATTATAAATAATATGTACGGTAAAGTCTAATACAAATTAAACACTTGTATTTATTTTAATCTACATAAAAATTTATATTTTAATATTATATAGATAAAAAAATAAAACATATACAAATATATAACCAACATGGTAAAAAAAAAAAAAAAAAAAATATAAAAAATTTTTATCTAGAAAATATATTATTAATTACATAATATAAAATATTTTTATTTTTTATTTAATATGTGAAAAAATTTGTACTTATATTAATTCCTAGAGGGCATTGAAGGAGGCAGACAATGTTAGATCTTCAAATAGACTTGGTCATTTTCCCTCCAAAAATTCAAATAGCAGGGGACTTTCTCCTGACCTTGACTGGCTAGCTATTACTACCTTCTTTGAATGGACTAATGTATGTGCATTTAATATAGGTTTGAATTTATTTGCTTCAATCATCTATCTAGTTCAAAAAGAGCCACTAGCCAATGCATAGACTTGGTCTAGTGTCTTTTAACCTTTTATTTCTCCATTAATGTTTGATCTATGTTTAGTACTATCTCTATTTTACTTTAATAGAAACTTTTTTTTTTTTTGTAAAAATTAAAAAAATAATTGAAATTCATTAATTTTCTATCGGTAGAATGTCTAAATTTTCCTTTTTAAAAGTAAATATGAAAATAAATGACACTTAATAAATATGGGTAAAATTGAAAAAAATAAGTAATATGATCTCAAAATCTTAAATGAACATTTAAAGTAAAATAAGGTGAAATAACTATTTGTTACTATTAAAGTGGAATAGAGGAAGTATTTCATAGCCATCTAAAAAAATTTACTTCAGTACCAACCTGCGCTAATCAATTATGTCATGGAAAAATTTTTAATGGTTAAAAGTTAATTTGTTGAAATTTTTTGTTGTTTATCTTTCAAAGTAGTGCTGATTTTGACACAGACACACACGTATGATCCACCCATTCTAGGTTTTGCCATTTATAGAGAAATACACATTGACTTTGGTCATACTGAACTTATGTATATATGTAATATTCAAAATTCACAATTTTTTCTAGAACAATCAAATTGTAGAGAAAGATTCTAAGTATTGATAATGATAAAGAAACATTGCAGTAAAATAATACTATTATAAATCAACAAATGTGTTAGTCGGAGGATACGTAATCTTAGTCGGAGGATACGTAATCTTAGCCATTGTAAGAGTGAAAATAAAAATTCAATTTCAAAAAATACATTTATTAAGAAGCTAAAAACTTATACTCTGTAACGTGAAAGAGATTAGTTATATTTAATTGATACATAAAGTGGAATGAAATAAACAATGGAATAAGTAATGAAATCAGAATGAGAATGAAAACTGCTATTTCTATTCCTACTTTTGTTAGAAATTATTAATAGGAATTTTGGTTTAGATCAAAAGACCAAGATAAGAAATGCATATTTGATATTTAAAAAAAAAGAAAAAAAAGGGACATATTTGATTTTTAAACAATAAAAAGAAGACTCATTATTCTCATTAAATTCGAATCCTTTTAGGTTAAATGTAAATCCAAATAGATAACGAGTTGAGTTTAAGTCAACGAATTTAGATTAGGTCAAAATTTGCCGCCTATAGTAACAATTTTCTCTTTGACATGAAAAAATTTTTGAAACGCCCAAAAAAAAAAAAAAAAAAAATTTTGAAACGTTTTTACACTAGTCTAACACATCTGTTAATCGTGTAAAAAGAAAATAAATTAGAATAATAAATTGACATTTGCAAATAAATAAAGTTGTATTCGCATTCCCATGCACATATTTTCATTATTTAGGATATTATCAAACCTAGATAAAGATGTACAAATAAATTATAATATATTAAAATTTTTGTCCTAATTAATAAAAGTCAACACAACATAAACTAAGTCTTTACCGACGCCTCGCAACCCGATCGCCGCCTCAGCTTAATTCTGTTATTTAACAATATTATATTATATAATCTAAGCCAACCAAATTTCAACTGGTTGCATATGATTATTAATTAATTAATTAAGTTCTTGATAGCCTTAGTCTGCCCAAAACATGGATTATGGATATATTTAATTAGATTCTCCATGGATTTTCCTCTCTCTATATATATAAACAATTCTGTTGCTTTATGAATTGTATTTTCTCTGGCGTCTCTTCTTCTCTTGTTCCCATTACAGGCCAAAACAAAAACTTCCAGAAAAGATAGCTATGAAGATTGAAGAGGAGAATGATACGTCAATCTTCAAGAAGATGCTTTCTTCTTTCTCTTGCTTAAGGATAAGTTGCTTCTCTTCTTCATCAAAACTTTCTTCTTCAGATGATATCGCACTAGGTAATTTCTAGGAGTAAAATGTTTAAATCTCAACATACTATCCTTTCAAAAAAGAGAGGGGTTTCACTGTACAAAACTTTTACTCTATCTAGATCAAATTCAAACTGATAATAATTTCATAATTCTTAAAATTAATCTAAGAATACTAGTTGAAAACTTACATATATATATATATATATATAAATACTTGCCATTGCTTACAGGAGGTGAAGTAATTCTTCAAAATGTTCATACCTTCCCATACACTGAGTTGGAGATTGCCACAAATGGTTTTCATTCATCCAATAAAATTGGTGAAGGTGGATTTGGCTCAGTTTATAAGGTCTATTTATATATACAATAAAATTTGATAGTTTGAGCATGCATTTAATTTTTGTATGCATGCATATTTAATGGAAATTTTTCTTTGTTAATAAATATATATGACAAATATTATTTATGGTTTGGAAATTAAAGGGAAGACTAGAAGATGGGACAGTTGTAGCAGTTAAAGTGCTATCAGCAGAATCAAGACAAGGAGATAAAGAGTTCTTGTCTGAGATGGATTCACTGTCTGCTATTAGCCATGGAAATCTTGTTAAGCTGTATGGTGGTTGCATTGATGGCCCTTGCAGAATTCTTGTTTATGAGTACATGAACAATGGTAACTTGGCTCAGATTTTGCTTGGTAATTCTCTATTTTTTTCTCTTAATATTCAATATTTCCATAACATTAGGGTTGTGTTCGGTGGCGGCTTTTTAAGTAATTGCAGTCAAAACACTATGTATTTGAATTATTTTTTTCGAAATGAACGTAGGGTTTTATAAACAGTTAACCTCTGTAACATTTAATTTTTAGCATTTTACGAAAGCCTACCTAAACAACTATATTCTACTAAAACGACTAATAACTATTGAAACACTTAATTTGCCGAACAGACCCTATGGTTTTTGCGTATAATAAGATGATTGAGAGTTGATACTATTGGTTGTTTTAAATGCAAGGTGGGAAAAACAATAATAATAGAGCAAAATTGAACTGGAAAGCAAGAAGAAAAATATCATTAGGGATTAGCGAAGGGCTTGCTTATATTCATGAGGAGATTAAACCTCGCATTGTGCACAGAGATATAAAGGCCACCAATATTCTTTTGGATCATAATTTTGCTCCTATATATATTTGATATAATGACCTACACCAATATTTTATTTTTAATTCACAATAATGCAAGTAGTACCATTTATTATTGTTTGTGATTAGTTGGGTAATTAATGTGTCAACTTAATTATATGCTTATCAATTATTTTCACAAAGTCTAATATATGTTTGTTTTAATAAATAAATATATATATTTTTAAAAAATCTAACTAACAAGTTCAGCTACCACCAACTTGCATTATCGAGACTATTTCACCAAATCATAAATGCTATAAATATGTCAAGCGGGGCATCATACTTTCATTCATTCGCCATGGTTGGATAGCAATCATAATTCATGTCAAATATGAAAAACTGTGAGCCAAATTTGACATTTATTGCTATTTTCATTTCCTATGAATATGGCAGAACTGTTATTTTTTCAAATTTTACTTGTTGAAAAATTATATTGAACTCTAATTTCACATGCACATTGGAATGACAAATCAACAGTAGATATTTCCCATGTTCCATAATATTTGTCACATTTAGAATTTCACGTTAAAATTATTAAATTTGTCTAACTTATAATAATTTATTGAGAAAATTGACTGTATTGACCTTAATTTAATACTAATTCTCTAAGAAAATTATTAAATCTCTCTAAAGAAAATTATTTAAATTTAAAGTAATTTAATTATTGGTCATGTATAAAGGATTAAATATTGAAAAAAAATATTTATTACTCTTTTAAAATTTATAAATGTGAAAGTATTATCAATAAATTATTTTTCTCAAATGTGAACAAGTATGATAAAAACGAAGGTAGTAAATAGATATATATGAGTAAATTCTTGCAAAGTTTACAGTTTTTCTCTTATATAGTAGATCCCTTTTTTAAATTTTCCCAAAAGTCTTATTTATCTTACTTTATCTTATACATATTTACTTTTTTAAGTTTCATATTGCCGATTATTTTATTATTTATTGACTTCGTTCATTCAACACAAAATAAGAAAATTATTAAATTAAAGTAATAATTATTGGTCATGTATAAAGGATAAATATGAAAAAAATATTTATTACTCTTTAAAATTATAAATGTGAAAGTATTTTAGAATAAATTATTTTCTCAAATGTGACAAGTATGATAAAACGAAGGTAGTAAATAGATATATATGAGTAAATCTTGCAAAGTTTACAGTTTTCTCTTTATATAGTAGATCCTTTTTTTAAATTTCAAAAGTCTTATTTATCTACTTATCTTATACATAATTACTTTTTAAGTTCATATTGCGATTATTTATTTATTTATTGACTCGTCATTCAACACAAAAATCTTGCATGAAATCACGATTTCTCTCTATTCAACTTTTCTCTAATTGACCAATTTTTTTATTTCAACTTTACATTGGATAAAAATTAATACTCGAATATGTTTCCAAATATTTTCAGAAATCCAAAAAATTTTAGCATCTTATCAATTTCAATCTAACCTTCAATTTAATTAAAGAAAAATGTTAACATTTATCATAAAATTAAAGAAAAAAGAGAAGGTAAATGTTGAATATATTTTTGTGATATATAGTAATATGATACTTCCATTACATGGAATACCCCGATTTTTTAAGTATGAAAAAAAAATTTTTTTGAATGTTTTTGTAATTTCCAATTTAGAATTCTTTCTACATATATAATACTGAATTTTGTAATTCTTTATTTTTGTATGTAAAAACATATAGAGGTTATCTTGCACCAGAATATGCCATTAGTGGGCACTTAACAAGGAAATCAGATGTGTACAGTTTTGGAGTTCTCCTTCTTGAAATAGTCAGTGGAAGAACAACTCTTGATTTTGATCTGCAACTTGGAGAACACTACCTTGTGGAGAAGGTAATTAACATTCACTAATGGATCTAAATTATATAGTAAGTAAAAGCTAAATATATTGTCCATTAAAGATTTAGGGTTCATTCGGCAAAATCTATTTTGGTAGCTGTTAATCATTTTAGTAGTGTTTAGATGTTTAAGTTGTTGTAGTTGTTTGAATAGTTTTTTATAAAATGCGAAAAGTTAAACGTAATAGGAAACCTTTTATAAAACACTATTTTAACTTATAAAAGCTAGTTCAAAAGTTATGTTATTGAACGCTATAAAAAAACCGTTAAAAAAAGTTATTGCTAAATACAATCTTAAACAGTGAAAACAATAATATCGGACATTACAAAAACTTGTCTTTTTTCTATTTGACAATAAAATAAGAAAGATAAAATGCAATTAATAGAGATAATTAATGATTATTTATGATCAAATGCAGGCATGGGAAATGTTCAAGAATGACAAGCTTGTGGAACTAGTGGATCCAATGTTAAATTTATTAGAAGAAGAAGAAGAAGAAGAAGCAGTTAGATTTCTAAAGGTTGCTCTACTCTGTGTGCAAGAGAAATGTGGGTTAAGGCCTAATATGTCAAAAGCCATTAAAATGATGAGAGGTGAAATTAGTATGAGCCATATAGAAATAGATGAGCCAGGACTCATTTCTAATTTTATGAATGTCAGAATTATAGCCCAGAAACAACAAAGCTCAAGCAGCATTACAGCCACTTCAAGCCCACAATTAAGTCCTTTATATAAAGTGTAAACCATGAATATTTTGATTTCTGAACTTATGGTTTCAGAATATCAACAGAGATATGTCAACATATGTACCTAGAGAGAGAGAGAGAGAGAGAGTTTTCTTCATCAGGTTTCTTAACCACTGAAAGAGATGATCCACATATATATAGATATGTTGATGTCATGATCAAGAATACTGATACGTTATACAAGAATCTTATGCTTGCACTTCTCGTTTCTTCACATAAATATAACAGTACAAGCAGTCTCCATTAAAGAATCTTACGTTCTATATACACTGTCATGCATTCCAAAACAAATCTTGCAACTAAATCTTTAAAAACTTGTTCAGGTATATAAACTCTCTTACAGTAAGTAAAATCTTGAAAAGGGTAATTCTCAATACACATCTTCCTTCCTTTCTTTTTTTCTCGTTATGGTTAATTAAGACAGTATGATGATCACTTTTTGATCTTGTTTTCTTGCAATTTTTTACTAATTAATTTTGGTTTTCCATCAAAGATTCAAAGTATAAAGAAGAAAATATATCATAAATGGTAAAAAAAAAAAGGAAAAAAAGGTTTACCATTTTCATGAAAGGCTACAGGCAAAACAGATGTGCCTGCCACAGGACAAACAACTCTATCTCTACCTATACATCCTCTCAAACCTCAAGCTAATTGAAGTCGACTATATCAATAGTTTATTATTATATTCAGGAATTATTAAATACTGATTATTTAAGCACTTATTTACTAAATACTAAATCTTGATCATTTATTTTAAAATTAAAATACTGAGCATTCTATACAAACAAATATGATTTATACAAATATGGGAAGGGAACATATGATTAAATATCTAAAAATAAAAATATACCTGAAATCATGAAATGGGTAAGAAGAAAAAACATTGATGATCACATTAGTTTGAGATTGAAGAGGATAGAATCTACTTTCTGAGACACAAAAGGTACAACCTGTAACATCATAACACATTTAGGAATTGTGGGGTCCCTTACTAATTCTGAAGTACTACTGTATGCTACACATCATCATCATCATCATTATCATCATCTCTTTTCACTCCTTATCGTTCCTGATGATCTGATAAAACATCCAGGAACACAAGAGAATGTTTTCTGTAGATTATTAAATTAGAACTCATCAACTATTCACTATTCATTCACCCTATCGTTGGTTTGAGTCGAGTTAAAATTAAATTTATGTAAGATTAGAGAATTCGATCTATTTTTGAAAATTAAAAAAAGAATTATAAATTATTTTTTAGAAACTATAGATAGTAGAAATAAAAAGATATGGAGAGTCCAAAATCCCAGAATTGATTTCAGGAGATCTCGAATGTGGTCCCTTGATTAGGCAGAGCAATGTGTCCTTTTGACCTGCTTTTAACGTATAAGATATTCTCTAGTAGCCAATAAGAAAAGAGAGAGGTGGGGTCCATTTCTGTAGTGTATGAGATTCCCTAGTAGCTATAATAATAATTTAGCTTTTACTTTCCCCAGAATCCACATTTTCTTTCTTTCTTTCTTTCTTTCTTTCTTTCTGGCTTTCTTTGTTTCTTGAATCCCTGGCCAGAAGAAAGCAAGAGATACAAAGAAAAGAAACAAAGCGTTGGTGTCATTTTGTGTGTTAGAGCAATATGATGAAGCCTATAGCTAGCTATAACAATCTTTATATTGTTAGATCATTATGTAACTAGAGCATGCTTCTTGCTTTATGTGTAATTTTATTTTTTCCATAAATAATTATGATATTTTATTTTGATTTTTTTATATTAATTAGTGTATTTTAATCTAATATATTGTATTAAAAATGTATTTGATTATCTTCATTAGGCTATTAGATTGCAATTAGAGATAAAAACCGAATTAAAGGTATGCTTTTGATTGGTGATAAGTAAAAATTTTAATAATTGGATTGATGTTTAAATATACTTAATTCTTGGTGCATAGAATTAATAATTTAAACTCTAAAATTATACTTGATAATCTATAATCAATTACAATATAATAATTTATTTTTAGTGTAAAATATAATAATGTATCTTGTTAAATATATCATTTATTAGGTGTGACTTAACTAATGATAAGTAGAAATTTTAATAATCTAGCTAATCACGTAGACAATTAATTCAAACTTCAAAATTGTATTTGTTAAGCTATAGTAGAATTATATGGTAATATAATTAAATTTATTTTAAATATAAAATATTTTATCACGGTTTATTAAATCAAACCTAAAGTCGCAATAAAATATAACCACATCAACTGAATTCAAACTAATATCCTATGAAAATTTTAATAATTAGACTAGTGGTCAACAGGTCAAATATACCTAAACCATAGCATAGTACACCTATAAATTTAGATTTGGCAAACCATAATTATATATAATTTAATATTTTCAAATGTGTTTCTAACATAAAATATTAAAAATATTTAAGTGTTTGATTATAGAGTTATTCTGTAACAGCTTTTCAACTACGGTTTACTGTTTTAACAGATTAAAATACTAAACGTTATTATTTTATAGCGTTTGATAACATAGCGTTTGATAACATAGTATTTAAAGTAACTTTTAAAAAATTAATTTCAAATGCTAAGGTAGCGTTTTATAAAAAATTAATTCATGTACTGTTTAGCTTTTAATTTTTCATGAAAAGCTATTCACCAACTATCAGGTAAACGTTACTAAACAACTATCAGCTATCAAAACATCTAATTTTACCGAACATATATTACATACCTTTTATTTTAAGTTATCAAATATAACTTTTTTTTTATCAATACGAAAAAAGTTATTTTAAAAGTACAAATCAAACCAGTTCAAATTAGTCACTTAAAAGAAAGTTATATGTTTATAATTTAAAAATGCATGAAAAAAAATTTTTAGTGATAATGACTTCATATATAGCATGTATAAAATGACAATTATCATGAAAATAGTACATTCTTGTTTCTTTAAATATAGTTTGATAAGAACCTAAACAATTATCTGGGTGAGTAATAAAGTCATAAAAGCACTTAAAAAAAATAATTATGGTGACTCCCCTCTATAAAAGAAATCTATCTCCCTCTCCAAAAATAATCTTATGTATTTAAATTATTAAATTTTAATATTATGTTATGAAAATGTGATAATAACTTTGAACTTTATTATCAAAACAATACTAAAATTAAATATAACTAACATCTAAAAAAAATGAAATTTAATTGTCTTAGAAGATAAAAATAAATTTTTTCTCTATAAATTTGTAATTGAACAATATCATGTAAGGAGACAATACCGCTTTTGTCTCTGTAACATATAAAGACAGAATTTATGGAAACAATATGTAAAGATAAGTTTTTTTGTCTCAATATATAACCTACAACTACAGGAGAAAATTTTATAAAATTTTAAAACAAAATTTTCCATCTCTTCTGCAATTAAATTGCAGTGTGTATTTATAGTATAATGTTATAAATTTCACTATATTATAGTTTATTAACTATAGTCTAATAATTTATTTCTCGTAAAAAATTCAAAAAACAATTTACTTAAATGGGATTATTAAATTACCTAGCTAGGTCAAGAAAGAAGAATATGAGAAAAGCAAGAAAAGAGAAACACAGTGGGGTTTGTTCATTAAATTATGGACATGCACAGGCAGAGCTGAGCTCACTACTCCACTAGCTATGGAAAACAAATGGTTAGCTGCAGTTTCTTGATAAGATCATAAAATGATGAATACATCTACATCCTCTTCTTTATTCCACTATTCCTCTTCAATTCCCTTTGCTTTTGGATTTTTTAAAGCAAAGCAAAAGGGCCATATGGGTCTTGTCATTTTTGTGTCTTCAAAATATGAATCTAAAGCTAAAAAACATTGACAAAATTGTTAGCAACAAAAAGTTGCTATAATGAAAGTACTTTTGCACCCAAAAATGCAATATTATAAAAACAGAAATTGATGTATTGATCTGTTTTGGGGAGACTGGATTAAAAATGGGGATTTCATATTACTTAAGATTATTCTATGCCTATGCACAAAATGAGAAAGAAAGAAATAAAGTTCTTTACACCTCAACTTTATCATCACCTATAATGTTATTTATAGCTAATTCTATGTACTCTTCAAATTTTGATTTAGTGAGTTGTTTTGCTAATTATATAAATAAATCCGTTTTCCCTTTTAATTACATCCCAAAAGGAAAAAAGAAAAAAGAACTTGACATGTATAATAACCACAGAAAAATGGGGAAAATAAAGAATATTTAGCCCTATGTCTATACATATTAAATAAATTATAACTAATTAGAGATTGATCAAATGGGTATAAATAAATATAATTTATAAGACAAAAAAATAAAAATAATTTGATCCCTTGATTATCTATCACACTAGCTAGTTAGAACATCTTGAACAGTTGCTAACAAAGTATATTATATGAACTTACTCTGCAAATTGTGAACTTTATTGGGTTAATATTCTCTCTTTTTCTTTTTTTTTTTTCTTCGTTCCTTCTCTAGCTAGCTAGGGCAGTGGCTAGGTCTCTCTCTCTTTCTCTTTCACCATAACCACAGGTCATAGGAAATGTCCATGAGACAAGCTAAAGCTATGCAACTTCTCCTAGATATGTCAGGTGATAATAATAGTTAATAGTTAGTATTAATATTAGTATAAATTTTAGGTCTAAAAATATAATTTTTTCTCTGAAATATATATATATATCCCTCGGTAAAAGTGTTAGTCAAAATATTTAAATGATCAGAGTTTCAGAGAAAATAACACATGAGAAAAAGAAAAGAAATTATACCCAACAGCTAAAACTCTGCAGAGAGTTTTTGTTTTCAGAAGATAAGCATCTCATAATGAAAAAACCCTAAAAACCATGAGAGTAATGATTCTATTCTCTAAATAAAGGTACTTTATTCCAATTCCAAACAAAGAAGAAGAGGCAGAGATAAGTAAATTAAAGTACCTTTAGTTCTAGCTAGAGAGACACCACCTGAACTGAATCATTTCTGAAATTACAATGCTGCCCCTTGTCCATTATTACTAAGAAAAAAATTAAAGAAAATGTATCTGCAGATAAATAAATATTCATACGCTATAGATAATATAAATATATATATAGAAATATGCATGGCTCCTCATACGCCATCCACGGAGGCCATCGATACTCCGGTGGGCTCTGCAAATGGCATACAGGGAGCCAGGCACATATAAAATATATACATATGTATGTATATATGCATGAAACGAAAAGTATAATAAATAAACACAAAAAGACACAGAAACTACTTATCAGTGGCAGTCATGAATAAGTGAAGTGAAGTGGAGAAGAAGAAGAAGAAGAAGAAAGAAAGGAAGAAGAAATTAGAAATTAGGGTAAGGAAAGGATTGAAGGGAAAGAGAGAAGAGAAGAGAAAGGTATTTAAGGAGAAAGAGGAGAGAGAGAAAGTAAAGGGAGGAAAAAGAAGAAAAGAGTCATAATCAAATAAGGGTAAAAGAGAGGTCCACAAAAACCCTTATGAATTGGGCAAAAACACAAGCTAATATTTGTGGGGTTAGTAATGTAGTATTTTGAGAGAGAAAGAAGTAAAGATGTGGGGTTGTAATTGCACCCCTAAGCCTTGCAACTAAATATAGACATCACGATACAGAGGGAGAGAGAAAGAGAATTTGGGGTTTGGGTTACTAACCACGCAATTTCCTAAGCTAACCCTTATGGTGGTTTGAAATCTCCTTTTCTGGGTCGTAAAGCAAAGGTTGCTTTTCTTTCTCTGAACCTCATTTTGTCTGCAAGTGCTTGGAAACACATGGATTCTCACTCTCTCTCTCCACTTTCTTTCTTTCTTTATATATATATATATACTTGGAAACATATTCTCACTCTCTCTCTCCACTTTTTCTTTCTTTCTGTTTATAATATATATTATATTATATATATATTTTATAAATTACTTATGTAAATAAAGAAACCAAGAAATATAAACATTATTATTCTTTATTTATCATGGCTCTTTTTTTCCCTTTTCTTTATCTCCATCACTTCACAACTTGTTCTATCTCTTTCTTTTTAGTTTACTTACTTTAATTAATTAATTAGTGTTAAGATCTTGCTAAGCAAACTGAGATTCTCTACCTATATATTTTATAAATTCTTACTGCTTTCTTTATGTAAAATAAAGAAACCAAGAAATATAACATTATTATTCTTATTTATCATGCTCTTTTTTTCCCTTTTCTTTATCTCCATCACTTCACACTTGTTCTATCTCTTCTTTTAGTTTACTACTTAATTAATTAATTAGTGTTAAGATCTTGCTAAGCAAACTGAGATTCTCTACCTAGCTCTTCTAAACCTTTTTCTTCTTGGACTTCTTATACCTAATTCATGAATTAGGATCTGCACTTATATATATATATCATGAATTAGGTATATATATATTGCCACTCATAGGCATGTGTCTGTATATTGTTACAGAATATATTACCTTTCTTGCTAGGTCATATTATAGTATTTCTCTTTTCTACTGTTTTAGAAATTCTTAACAGGGAAACATCATGAAGGTTTAAATTTCAGACCATTGGACATTAATTCAAATAATTTTTTTTGATGCATCAGAAATTTACAGCATAAAAATGTTGCATTTGAACTTCTGACTTTAGAATGCAAATACTTAAACATTAGATTAATACCTAAATATTTATATTATATATGATATCCACCTAACCCAACACTAAGATATTTGAGGAATGTGAAAACCCTATCTGCCTTGTCTCATTCTTGTTTTCTCTTCTGGTTGGATCTGGTAATTGTTCTGCATAATTACATTCGAATGCAAGTTTTGAACTCTAATATATATATGGGTTATTATTATTAATACTGCTTGGTAGCTGGGACAGTGAACATTGGTACATGAGCTGCAGAAACTATAACCAAAATAATTTCAATGATACAATTGTAACCTTATGTGATTGTTCTATGAATAGTCAGTATCCTTGTAAGAATCTTTTCCTGTCAATACAAGGCCACCAATAGAATTTTAGGGTTGACATTAAAAACAACACATAGGTGTCAGGTTCGACTTGTATGCCTCTCAACCTTTCATTTATGCATATTTTGGGTTTCTTAATTAATTTCTAGTTAATTTTTGTATGATTAAAATTGTTATATCTAGCTCAAAAAAATTAAAGTTTAATTATGATCCGACAACATTCTTTGTTTATAGCACATGAATTATGTTTTTTCTGACAAAATTGTTTCTTTATATCATATACAACTATAGTAATGCATGTGAAAAATGTAATTATTAATTTAGCCATCGCCCTTTTAACTCAATGGTTGCTATATGCCCTCTACTACTGAGAATGAGTACTTATTTATTTTCTAATGCAAAGGGTATGGGCAAAATAATTGCATTTTAACTCTGATTTTTTTTTCAAAAAAAAAAAAAAAAGATTTGGATACTTATAATTTAAGGTATTTTCGATTCAGTTCATCATGATCGAGACTAAAAAACTTTTATTAGATGATTTTATTAACACACATAATCTTCTTTACTGGTCCAGTGCATTCTTATTTCTTCATAATTTCTATTAATAATGGAAAAATATTAATTTTTGAGGGTTGTATGTATTTTCCTCTCACTATTCTCTTCTAATTATTCGCTTTCTTTGTCTTTCCATCTTTGTTTCTCTTAATTTTGGGGTTGCACATAAATAGAATAGGTATGAATCTGTCCTTCAAATGTTTCAAAAGATACACTTCTATGAAAACTGTCCTATGAACCACTCCAAGATGTGTTAGTAAGTGTAAAAGTAAATTCATCATAAATGAGAATATAATTTTAATCCTTCTAAATAACCAGCTGGAATAGTGGAAATTTTCAAAATTTGGATTGCTTTGAAAACATTCAATTAATCTAGTTCTTCTTTTAGGTAGCCAATAGAATTAGGGAAAGAAGCCAAATGAGGGATTAAGACCCATTTTCTTTGAAATAAGTAGGGAGATTGAAAATCGAAGTTTGTGTTCCGCGCTGTTTAACTAGCTTTTAATATTTTAATCAGTTAAAATATTAAACGCTATTTTTTATAGTGTTCGGTAACATAATATGAATTAATTTTAGAAGTTAAAGATAGCTTTTTATAAAAAGTTAACTCATCAAACATTTAACTTTTAACATTTTATAAAAAAATTATTCAAACAATTAACAGCTATTAAAACAGCTAATTGTGTGAAATAGACCCGAAATATTGGGTATAGCTCATTGCTACAAGTAAGATTTACCAAATCTTAGATAAAGAAAAGATTTGATCTTTGCTTTATACAAAACTATGATTGTAAAAGAACTGTAGTTACTAAGTACCAAAACACAAGATTTTACTTACAATGTTATATAAGTGAAAAACACTTTGAACTACACTGATCACCAAGGACTGAGAATGAAAATAGGAAGCTGATTTGAACCTAACAAAAGTTTTGATCCCTAGCCATCATACCCTATACCTCCATATGTAGGTTCATATTTAGTATAAGAGACAAAGAATTGCATGAGTCAATTTTAAAGGCCAAGAAACAAATATCTATATCTATATATATATTTCTTTTTTTTTTTTTTCCTTTTTCTTTATCCCTTTTATACACATATATTTTTAGATAAGGTAAATTTTTCTTTTACTAATTTTAGCTTAATTAATTATTATCAAAGATGCAACAATAAATCACTTTGCTTTTGCCTCCAAATTTACATCCAATTAAAGATTGTGTTCTCCAAATTCAAGAATTGTATCAAAAGGTCAAAAAGTTATTTGCTTTATATATCATAATTAAGGTGAAAATGACATTTACTAAAGAAAATTTAACATGATGGAGATTTAGATGTTTAGAAAGTAGAAAGCATGTCGGTTTGAAAGATTGAGAAAATTCAAATATGTGTAAAATTGACAGTAACTCTTTTGTTTCTAACTGATTTTTAAAAAGTATGTTTTTTAAATAATTTATTTTTTTATTGTTTAGTTACAATGCTGAAACTTAATTTAAAAAAACATACAAAATTATAAAAATATTTGAATTTATATAAATTTCATAATTTTAAAAATTTATTATTAAATATGAAAAAATTTATACAAAAATAATAAATTGTTGTATTCATTTGTCTGATGGTTGTGGCTGATTGTAGGTAGTAAATAGTTATGACTGGGGATTAATGGTGGTGGCTGCTGATTATTAATGAGCTAATAAATAATATTTATAAGATTACAACAAGTTTGGATAGCAGAAAAAAAATTTTTTCTATTTTGATTTTTAGAAATTATTTCCTTTAAATGACTTAGCTTTCCCTTCAAATAGAAAAATAATTTTCATTCACTGATTTTCTAGCAATTCAATATATTGAAAAATCTGGAAAATAAATTTCGAGTTTTTTCAGACGACAAACATAATCTTTTTTTTTTTAATAAATACAGTAAAAAAAATTAGAATGGAAAAATAAATTGCTATAGCGGATTACAACTAATTTTTAGTTGTGTTGATTTTTATTTTTTCGATGGATGAAATTTTGTATTAGAAAAGGAGGGTGTGAGTACAAGACAAAATAATTAAATCTTAAATAACTTGTGTTGAGTTGTAAAGAAGATTTTTGTATGGTTAAATAATTAAATCTTTTTTAGTGCTTGGAAAGCTTCGTCTTGAAGAAGACTTTTTTATATGCTGAAGAGCTTTCTATTCTTTCTTTTCAAGTTTAGTTGTATTGAATATTGATAGCCAACTTAACCCTTTGAAAATGATTTTAAAAGAGTGGGTCCAAATAACTTCTAATTTGAAAAATTAATACTTTTAAATTTTTGTTAGCTACAATATTATAAGTCTTCCTAATTTATTGAATTAGACCTAATTCTTCTCGTGCTGGGTTAAGTCTATTGAATTTAATTTTGTTAATATTGTGTCAAGCTATTCAAGAGAAAATACCCTCAATAGAGATTTTTTATATCCACAAAAATTAAATACTCACTTGTTACTTAAAGGATCTAAATCTTTTTACATTCGGGTCGAGAATACTTTAAAATTTTTAACCCTAAAAAATTGGTTGGTAAGTTTAGTCAATAGCCTTTTGGGTAATATCATAATAAAAGTGGTTTCTTAATGAATCCTCTTAATTACATATACGGTACTTTTGGTTTGTTTTTTTCAGTTAAATCATTCGATATCCGGTATCGCCAACTAATCTGAATTCGAGTTTTGCAGAGATTCATTATAGGGGCGACCCTTTCAATTCAGTTTTCTCCATTCGCAACGTTAGATTTGAACCATGGACATTGCTTAAGGATCCAGCGACGTATTTTTTAATGGACCATGAAAATGAATTTAGAATATTTTCTTTTCTAGATATTTTAATATCTCATTTGATACAAATGAATCTCATAGAATTTTTTAAAATAAATTTGAAATTTACGTTTTCATATTTTTGTAGAGGATATGTTTCATGTTTCAAAAAGGAAAATTTTCCATTTTATTCCTTTTATTGAATCCAATATAATTAAATTAACAACTTTAAAGAAGTTATACCTCAATTTTATTTATACCAAATAAGAGAGTAATCTCATAATAATTTTCTTTGGCTTAAAAAAAAAAAAAGGATTAGTCTCATCATGCTTGGTATTTTCTGATTAGGATACCTAACTATTCAATATAATAAAATATATTTCCTCTTTTTTTTTTTTTCTTTCTGAT